AGAAGAAGAAGAAGAAGGAGGAGGAGGAGGAGGAGGAGGAGGAGGAGGAGGAGGAGGAGGAGGAGGAGGAGGAGGAGGAGGAGGAGGAGGAGGAGGAGAAGAAGAAGAAGAAGAAGAAGAAGAAGAAGAAGAAGAAGAAGAAGAAGAAGAAGAAGAAGAAGAAGAAGAAGAAGAAGAAGAAGAAGAAGAAGAAGAAGAAGAAGAAGAAGAAGAAGAAGAAGAAGAAGAAGAAGAAGAAGAAGAAGAAAAAGAAGAAGAAGAAGAAGAAGAAGAAGAAAAAGAAGAAGAGGAAGAAGAAGAAGAAACACGGCCAAAACATCAATATAAAAAAAACAATTATACTAACAATAGAATTCATTTGAGTAAAATAATGAAATAATATTAAAATAAAAAATGGAGCAATATTATTATAAATCAAAATTTCTAAAAGGACACTACTTGGAATCCGCCGATTGTATGGGATCAGATACCCTGTATGAATACGTTAAATTAGGTAATTCAATCCATACAATTTTAGGTTATATGTTCAGATCACCATTCTTTTTTTTTTCAAGAGGAAAGCAGATGTCTATTCTCATTTTGTGTTTGGTCATTCTATTGAGTTACATCTATAAGACCAATCTCCTCGTGGTTTAAGGAGTGGAAATATGATGTATAAACTCAACTATTGCATTTTTGTTCTTTTTGTAGAGGGTCACATCCTTTTACCGACATCCTCTTGTGTAAAGAGTGGAAAGAAAGATGTAGAGACCCATGTTTTAAATCACTTTCAACTTGTGAAGTTGCTTGTTTTTGTTTTGTTTTTTCGACATCATTTCCTCCATACTTGAATGGAATGGATTGAGATATATTCATATATTTCATTCGGATAGAGAGATAGAGGGAGGGGGGAATGTAAAATTATATTGCTTTTATATATTAAAGGTATTATTTAAAAAATAATGGCCATGATAACGATGACAGTAATAACGATAGCCATAACGGCGGTGGTAATAATAAAAACAACAATAATAACACTACCAATAATAGAAACAAAGATGAATAACAATAATACTACTACTACCAATAATAATATTAATTATCTTAACAATAATAATAATAATAATAATAATAATAATAATAATAATAATAATAATAATAATAATAATAATAATAATGACATCAGCAATAACAACAACAACAACAACAACAACAACAACAACTACGACAACAACAACAACAACAACAACAACAACAACAACAACAACAATAGTAAAATTGGAAAACTGCAATTTTGCCACAAAGAGACACAACATACATGTACCTGTCCCCGTCGTTTTATGAAAGAAAAATTCTAAAATTATGCAAACTGAGCCCAAAAATGTGAAATTATGCGATTCTGTTAATTTTAGCAAAGAATGATAAAGGAAAATAATCTGAAATTATGCCACAAAAATTGTTTTACAACCACAATGGACAGACGATGCAAAGTCATGGACAGCATGGTTGTATATTTGTTGGGACAATGTACAAGACTGTCCCCGTGGTTTTATGCACCCCGCATAATTCAGAAAAATTTGATCATTTTTTGGGCATAATTTCTGATTATTTTCCTTTATTATTATTACTATTATTATTATTATTATTATTATTATTATTATTATTATTATTTAAAAATAACAGAATCGTATAATTTTACATTTTTGGACTCAGTTTGCATAATTTCAGAATTTATCTTGCATAAAACGACGGGGACGTATGATTGTATACTTGTGATGTATTTCCAGTTCACTATGAAACCTTTGATTATAATAATATAATAATATGTATATATCATGACTAAATTTGAACTTCATGAAGGGCAACAAGTGATTTTGGGGGAGGGCGAGGGCCTTGGGCAGTAGAAATAGTAGAATATAGCCAGACTGGTGTTTTGCCCCTCATTTGGGCAGAATCATAACGAAGTGACTATTTATCCGAACGTTCAGGAAAATAAAGTTGAACTCTATTTCTCCGAACGGTTTCCAATCTGGAGATTTTTTTTTGTTATTTGCGAGATTTAGGCGTTATCCTTTCATTCTGCCATTCTGCGAGGACTGGGAAGAAGCATTATTTGCATCGAATTCAATTTCTAGAGCTAGAGATTTTTAAATGTCTGAATATTCAAATACTTCAGTTGTGATTGGGGTAACGTTCTCGGACTATACTTCATTTGAAAATACCTTCAAAAGGTACTGCGAGAAAACAAGACTGCTCGACCTTGGCAGTAACCTATTTTGCATTTAGTCACACAGCAAAAATTAAAATCCTTCAATTTTAAGTTTTTTTTAAAATCCCTCCACGCCCTCCGTTCACACCTTACACACACACCTCACACACACACACCTTACACACACACACCTTACACACACACCTTACACACACACACCTTACACACAGTAAAGTTTTATACATTTCAATGTAGGACCTTATTTAGGTCACATATGGCCTAAATAAGCTAACCCCCCCCCCCCCTCCCTTA